TTCCGTTTTTCTATTAATCCGAACTAGAAAAGCGACTTAATATGTATCACATCATAAACTATGAGTGTATAATTTACATTTAAACAAATTCACACACATGACTTGTCATGTACACTAACATATTTTATTTTCACACAGCTCGGTGTGTTTGTATTTATTTCTTCTGAAAATAGGCGCACTTGATTAGTTATATTAAGTGGAACATATCCAATGATTCGATTCTTAAAATTTATATGTAATTTATTTTTATATCTTCATGCTAAAATAATAATTGGTTAAAGTCAGATATATGTAATGTTCATTCATGTGTATATTTATTTATGTATTAGAGAAGACGTTACTAAGTTGAAAAACTTGTGTCTAATCCATTTGTCATTTTGGAACAAAAAAATACGTTCAAACTAAAAAATCATGATATGAATTAAAAGAAAAGAAGAAAACCAAACACATTTTTTTTTTATTAAAATTGAAAATCCAACTGATTAAAAGTCGTATTGACCTCTAAAATTCTATCACAGAAAACAATTACTTATAGTATCTCAAAATGTCAAAATATAGCCCGTTTTATAATCGCGCAGTGGACATAATTGTTATATTTCTATTCAGACATTCCACATTTTATCAACCGTTTCAGAACTATTTTTGAAGATAACGAATCCGTGGTTTCATTGCACATTTAACGCAAAATACATTTTTCAATTCTTTATTTACACTCAAACACAAATATGTGTTACATGAGGACAAATTACAAATCAAATGCAATAAATGACAGAACAGACAGGAAATTAGTAACTTATAAGTTATAACTAATAATAATAGGTCTTTCGCCGTCAATTCATGAGGGCGTGCCAAATTGTCACGAATGTCTAATCAGGTTTTTCTGTTGTTCAAAGTTTGACGTGCGGTGATGTTTGAACAGTGTTGAGTGTATTTTACATTTGTCATTTCGGAGCCTTTAATATCTTACTATGCTGTATGGATTTTGCTCATTGTTGAAGGCCGTACAGTGACCTTTGATTGGTCATTTCTACGTTATTCAGTCTGGTTAAATTCTCTCATTAAACATTATCCCATCATAGATGATCAGATGTGTTATAAAAAAGAAAACTACATTATCGTATCTCGGATATATATCTATTAAATATAATAAAGAAAACTTTAGTAAGATTGAGTACAACAAAGGCTTTGCCTTATTAAATCCTTGATGCTGTCTCCTTCAGACTGTCTACCGTACTGTTAACGCGGTATTATATGTGATAAATTGCTGTAAATAATAGTAAACTGAGTATTTATTCACAGTACGCACTTCCTATTTTAATTGTGGTGATAGAAATCTTAATGTCATTGTTACACAGTTGATAAATATGGTGCAATTATTCAAATGCAGATTTAAACCTTATTAATATTAAACCCAATCCCGCATGCAGCTGTGGTCATCCTGTTGAGAATAGTATTCACTATTTTTTAAGTGCCCTTTTATCAACGAAGCAAGAGAAATATTGTTTTCAAAATTAGAAAGATCTACTATATCCATTTTGCTTTTATTAGTGGCTGGTGACGGTGACCTTTCATTTCACCAAAACAAAGAAATGTTTGAGTCTGTACAATCATATATCAGAAATACACTAAGATTTAGAACATTCAATCAAAATTCGGAATTCGTACTTCCCAACTCTTTACTCTGGTCCAGTTTTATATATTACTCTATATTATATTATACTTTTTGTTTTTGAGACAAGGCCATGCATAATTTGTCAATAGACAAGCACAATAACCTCAAAGCGAATTGCGAGAAGTGGTTTCGTATTTCGTTATAGAAAAAAATACTAATAGTTTATGAAAAATAACGACTCTCGTACGGTGTCGCGTTTATATCTTCTTAAAACATTGGTGCAATTTGATGCAAAAAATAATGACCATAAAATGTCAGGTTTGCGAGATCAGACAGTAACCTAACAACTAAACAATTGAAAATCTAGGGATCAATGTTTAACATTCGTCAGCCATGAGGAATTTTCATAAATAAAACATGATTTAGTAGAATACTTTGCGAGTAAAAAAAAGAGACTACCATAGATTTGTTATTAACCATAAATGCTTAAGGGGTACAAATCAGTATTCAGGAGTTACCCTTTTTGCATTACACCACATTACAACAGAAATTAGAAAATAGGGCCTGGGAGTATTGCTAAGACATTGTTGTTTTCCTGTTCTATGTAGCTTTCTTTCTGGCAAACACGTAGTTAGATTTTATAAATGCTGACAGGCACCGACTATTGAAAAACCATCGATCTGTTTAAAATGAGAAATGAAAATAATTGTTTGTTTTTCTGGGTTTTTTTTAAGGCAAATAAGAAAAATGACCGTTCGATTTAAAATTGTTTAAAATTATTTAGAAATAGATTTATGAAAATAATGTATTTTAATGCGAAAAGGCTAGACTTTAATTTGTGGTGTAGGGATGTGATTGAGTGGTTTTGTTTACAATTATTTCCCATTATTTCCGTAGTGAAAATCTGCAATAATTATTGTTTCATCATGTTCTTTGATTTTCACATTATAACAAAACTAAGAATATGACGGATGAATTTATAGTTAGCTGTTTAATGTCCAGTGGTAACTATTAGATTTATCATTAGGAGGACATTTACAATGTTATAAATATGATCAAGGTCACGGTATCATTTTGTTATGCAAACATGTGTATCAAGGTACAAGCGATGACCTATAGACCGTGTGTATCATATGTATATTTAGGGTGGGTTGCTCTAAATAAAGGAGGTATAGATACAGGAAAATAAAGATTTTTTTTTTATAAAATTAGAACAGAGTATAACAGGCCAAATAAAGCACAGAGGAAAATGGTTTAAGAAAATTAAAGAATAGAGGGAAATGGTCTAGTTTTTTGCCGGACAATCGTTGATGATTGTTTAAAGTCAAGTGCATTTATTGGTAAAATAATACACAATCGTTTGTACATTGGTAGGGATTTATGTTTGAGGTTGATGAGGCACATAATGAGTAACTGTTTTTATTTGAAATTTCTAGAATATTTGGGTTTTTTTTCGTCTGATTTGAAAATGAAGAAAAAAAATCTATAATCTAAAAAAAATGGTTTAATACTCAACAGACTGTAGTTTACTCGCACATTCACCAAGTCCGTATTTCTACGGCTAAAAAAAATCATAATTGTATCTTTTAATTTGTTTAAATTTATTTCAGTGTTTATTTTTCAAACTTTTATGTAAATAATGTTGGATCAACATCGAGTCAGATTAAATTATAATTTATTAGATTATTAATTTAAACTAAACTAAAACATGCATCCAATATAAATTTTACGCATATTATCACCTATATAAAAAGACTTAACAGAATACAATTCATGTTTATATTAAAAAAAAACACATATACGCGAAACGAAACTATGCACGCAAAGAAACGATGTACGCTTAACCATACGATATACGCTAAACGAAACGATGTACGCTAAACGATACGGTATACGCTAAATGAAACGATGTACGCAAAACCATACGATTTACGATACAAGGGCGCTTATGTTATCGTTAATGGTATGGTTTATGGTACATGGTTTCGTTAGTACATCATTCGTTCACCGTCCGTACAACGTTCGGTCAGCGTTTCGTTTGCATTCGTACACCGTTCGGGAAGCGTACGTACATCGTTCGGGCATCGTCCGTACATGGGTCGGGCATCGTTCGTATTGTTAACTTTTACGTTACACGGACTGTACAAACGCATTTTGAAAACATAATTATTAGTCTATCAATTGACCCTATTTTGTCCAGCATGATAATGAAAACACAAGTATTATTTTTCTAGGCCTAACTTTGTCACACATTTATGGATTTTTATGAAACTTAAACAGATTTTTTTTTTAAATAAATACAAAGGATCTTTAGAAGTTTATTTTCCTCATATTAAACATGTTATACTGGAAAATATCCTTTTTTGTGTAAATATTTAAAAACAGAACATACAGTTATTAGAAAGCTGAAATTAAAAAAAAAAGTAGTGGGTCCATTATGGCCTCATGCATATGCTTTGACTTTTTGCTTAAATGCTCAGAATCATTACAAAGAAGCACAATTAAATGCCACCTTTCTAATTTTTAAGACAAATTCATAATTCTGCAAAACTGAAATTTTCAAAAAAAGGAGTGCACCATATCCAGAATAATAAGTTTTCATTCTTTATCAATCCAACTTAAAAAAATCATGTACTTTCATTTATAATCAGCATATTTATGTCAGAAATACAGAATTAAATGAAAGATTTTGGCCCATTTAGTTAAAGAAGTTAGACTGTATATCAATCTGGATTTTGGTCAAAATGAACAATTTGTATTTATTGATTATTTTTATTTCCAAGGTACTTTAACTTACCCTAATGTCTATTTTTGTTTCCCAGTCAGACTGAATATTGTTTGAACTGTCGATTTTAAAACGTATATTATACAGATAAAATAAAGATTGAATTTAACACATCTACCTGTAATCTTATATTAAAAGGCTAAATAATGAATATTGTGTTATGTCATGAATCACCCTCTGCATGATTCTTACAAAGATACTTACGTAATAAAAAAAATTTACTGATCACGCCTCAGATTTTGATAGTCACGAGGGTTCTAAATATCTTTCTTGTCATATGTTTAAACGTCTTCTTCGGTTGCTACGGCTAGTACGCTAAACGTCATATATTCATGTTATTTTTGTTATTGTCGCTTTTGTAAGAAACTACTTTCGTCAAATGGGATTACATATTTATCGTTTATTCTAATTTAAATAAATTCGATCGTCATATTGGAAGCCTCAATCACACTCTCATTTATATTTTGTCAATCAGGACAATGTAAAATTTCCGCTTATCTAATGGAAAGATAGAGTGTTTAACATTGGCTTTATATGTAGCAAAGTTTATCTTTCAACAGGAAAATATAGTAGAAGGACCGAGGGCATGTCTATTTTATAACCATGAGCGGACAGCAAACTATGCAGCAGGTAAATATTGTTTTATTTAAAAGGTAGGATTTATCTAAAAGTCGAATCTGCATTGATTGAAGGATCAATGATGAAAATCATGTTATTAAAGATAACCTACAACGCAAAGGGTTGACACATTCTGTCTCCGACCATTTTTTTACAACTCTGTTTAAAATTGGTTTGACTCGGCTGGGGATCAATTCCTTTACGTTCCGTCTTCGCGGCTAATACGTTACCACGAGACCACATTTTTTCTGTAATGATTCAATGTACTGAAACGTATTTTGTGTATATAATTAAAATGCAAATATTGAATGTTCGTACCATTATGTTTTGTCTGAAATCAGTTATTTCTTCATATTTATATATACGGTTAATAGTAATATCTTAATAAGTTACTTTCATTTTTAAGTTTCTTTTTTTTGTTATGTTTATCTAAGACATCGTTAATTACCTTTAAAAAATCCACACTTGTTTTTAAATTATATTTTGTGCAACGGTACCAATATAAGATGACAATATTCACAGATGCAACAAAATCGTATTGAATTGGAAAAAAATATTTCCGCTCAACAAATGACCTTGTTAAATGTCAATGTCTCCATTTCAAATGTAACACACTACTAGCTATCTATCTTATAACATAACTCAGTAATACAGGTAAATTTCGAACTATTGATTTAATCGAAAACCCTGCATTTCATAAAACTAAACAAAACTCAATGTTATATAGATGTGGCTGCGTGCTTATACATGGAAAGATAACAAAATGTATTAGTTTGTTTAAATATGTATATAAAATAATAAATGAATATTGCCATAAAAGAAACTACAAGTACTTCCAATTGGTGACATTTGAATCATTATTTCTCAGATAAAAGATGGCTTAAATGGATAACTCAATTTTATTTTTTTTTAAAGTTTTGCAAATTCTTTAATGATTTATTCATTGTTACATATATAGGATATTTCTCAACTGTTGGGTAATGTAGATTTTGAGTTTACAAATTTCAAAAGGCAGATACAAATGCATCCATAAGTCTATTCATCAATGATATAATCACTTTAAAAATCCAGTGAGTTTGAAGCGCTTGTCTGGATTTTTCTTTGAAAGGAACCCTTAAACCTTAAAGACAAGGATGCATAAGAACACAGGAAAAATGTAAGGCAATGTTATATTACAAAACATGAACATAAACACACAAGTAAAATTTGTCCAAGGTCAACTTTGACTAAGGGAGTAAATGAAATACATATCAATACAAACATCGTGTGTGCGAAGCGTTTTTCAGGAACGCTCAAACCTAAACATTTCAAAGCCTTCAGGTCAACTGTTCCTGAGGGCGATAGAAATTTAGTTTCTTTTTAGATTTCATTGTTTAAATGTATTTGTGGAGTTTAGTATGACATCCATGTTCATTGAACTAGTACACATTTTGTTTAGGGGCCAGCTGAAGCCCGCATTTGGGTGCGGGATTTTCTCGCTGTGTTGAAGACCCATTGTTGGCCGTCGGTTGTTTTCTGCTGTTTGGTTGGGTTGTTGTCTCTTTGACACATTCCCCATTTCCATTCTCAATTTTATTGTTGAATTTTAGGGACACAGCGTGGTGAGGAATATTCTTGATTTTGATCTTCAACGCAAACACAAACTTGTTGAAATTTACGACGATATTCTTCGACTGGTTGGTGACCTAAGAGGGGAACAACATCTTTTAGAAGAGCTGACAACTGAATTCGGAGACTTTCAAAATGAAATTCCAAATTCAAAGGCGATTTTATTAGAAGCAGAATGTCCAATAGTTATTGCTGGTAAGTGATTTATATTAGTTGTCTTGATGAAAATGATTTAAAAAAGCCGTCGTATTGGAAGGATTCACAACCAGTACAGTATCTTCATAATTACTTGCAAGTCGGATATTAGTTCTAAACACTTAAAAGTAAAATCACAAAAATACTGAACTTCGAGGAAAATTCAAAAAGGAAAGTCCCTAATCAAATGGCAAACTCAAAAGCTCAAACACATCAAACGAATGGATAACAACTGTCATATTCCTGACTTGGTACAAGCATTTTCTTATGTAGAAAATGGTGGATTGAACCAAACCTCTCACTTGTATGACAGTCGCATCAAATTCCATTATATTGACAACGATGCGAGAACAAAACAAACAGACAATAGGTAAAAATGTCAAAAATAGGGGTACAGCAGTCAACATTGTGTTATCATCATAATAACTATAAAAACAAACAAATGTAACAAAGAAACACAAAAAGGCATACATCAAATTTAACAACCTCATTTTACTTTTTTATTATACGATTTTATTCATATAATAAATTATGTAAAATCCACCCATAAAGGATTGAAAGATTTTAAGTACTGGGACCGAATCCTTACCCTGACAGACACATGGTTAGATGAACATTAACTTTGACGTAGAATCGCGCGTTTGTAATATATTTTTAAACAGAGGGAAACTTGAATTATAGCGTGTTTATTTGATCATTATGTGTCCAACCTTAATTTGGCATTAAAGAAGTTCCCGTTATTTATAGAAAATATATATCCCGACAATGCAAAAGCAGTTATTGAATAATGTTACTAGTTTTACAGATTAAAAAAAAAAAAAAACCAAAAAACCAATAAGGTCTTATCGTCCCTTTCACCCTAGATGACTCATCGCCTTTAATGACATATCACTGTATGCACTACAACAGAAACAATGTGGTACTAGTTCCTAAATAACTTCTTAAACTTCTGTCGGATTGTCATTTTTAATCTTATGATTTTGGTAAAGGTCGGATTACTCATTCTTCACTTTTCTATTTACAATTTTTGAAAATGTTAGTGTTCTTTTTATCTTTTGTTTTGGCTATAGTAATGGTAGTCAAATTTCAACTTACTATGATGCTTTCCCGTGAGTACACAATGTGTGGATTTTCATTTGTTAAATTATGAAAAACGTTGTATACTTAATAAGAAGCTTAAATTTAAGGTCAAGCGATGACCCATTTTTGCTTCCATTCACGTCATCTGAACTCTGGGGGATAGTTGTCTTATTTACAATTTTTATTCGATTCAAGTTTGAGTATTATTGTATCTTAAGGTTAACTCGGTGAATGCTTTTACAACACAAGCTATTGTTATTTTTGACAGAATAAAACTAATGTTTTTATTTTAATCGATATTTGAATTTATGTCTGTGCATATTCTTTATATAAGACAATTACAGCATATATCATTTTTCATACTACTTTCGTACTTACCACATGTGCTTTAATCCTTTTCTAATCCATACATGGGTGTATAACATTTCAATCACATCAATAATTTCCACTTCAGATTAGAAAGTTTTTAATGTTAAATCAACACAAGGAAATCAGTCAAACGTATATACGTACAAACGTATATACGATAATGATTATGTATTACAATGATGTTAATAATCAGGTAAAAAAACAATTGTACTGGTTATTTAAATGTATGTATTTAAAACAAAGGGAGTTTAAACTCTTTTGATTTTTTACCTTGTCAAGTGAGGCTGCTAAAAATATAGTGATTCCTAAGTATACGACCTTGGCTTCTTATGTATTTATATATCAGGAAAGGGTTGAATAAAAATATTTATTGAAAAAAAAATTAAAGAAAATTTGATTTTATTTTCAAATTTTTAGCTCTTGCAAATCAATTTTAATCTCAAACGGTTGTTTGGATCATAACAACAAATTATTAAGTCATGATCAGTCTTACATATATAAGAAATATATGTCAGTTTATATAAATATTAGATATGATGGGGCTGATTTTTGTTTAATTTAAGATAACAAAGCAATGGGGCCAAACATAGAGTGTTATTCAGTTACCTTACTGCGAATTATAGACAAATTTTGAACCTATTACCTTCATTACCTGTTACAAATCCATAACAAATGATAGCATTTCATATCCGTTTAGAAACTAGAAATAAAAGTAAACTTGTAATTATATCAATCGGAGATGTGGTAAATAGCAGAAGAGACAACTATCCGCCAGAATCAACATGATATGAATGTAATCAATTAAAGGTCATCTTTCGACCTTCAACAGTTGTCTTAAACCAATACGGTATAGTTAGCTGTAAAAGGCCCCGCATGACAAAATGTGAAACCATTCAGACAAGAAAGAAATGGCATAACTAAAGAAAAACAATAAACAAAAAACAGTTATTCTAGAATGGAACCAACAACAACCACATGCACATACTAAATGTGGTGTTGAACATGCTAAAGATGTCTAAGACCTATTCTAAACTAAGCTACAGGGCACGGTCTGGTTAGCAAACATTCACTTCATTAGTATTTGATGTGCGCTTCACAAAACATAGATGGAAAAAAAATGTTTTAACTTTAAAATTGTACTATTATCGCAATGCTACCTCGGAATGTCTTCTTTTCTACACTTATGGATTGTGTATCTATATTTGTTTAGCAGTTTATAATCGCTTCCTTGATACTTCACCTTTGATTATCTGGGCAAAATTGGAAGTTTGTATTGATTTATTGCACTTACATGAGCAACACGTTTTGTCAGAATCATCAGTGACGCTCGAATAAAGAAAGTTAAAGCCAAATACAATAGGAATTTGATGACTTAAAATTCGAAAAGATTTGTGAATAACAAGTAAATCTTACATTGTGTGTGAATTTTCAAAGGCTTATTTGTCAATGTGTTTTGTTGTCAGTTAATTCTAGCTAGTAAACTTATCAAACATTTTATTGTATGTTTGCAGATATCTTTACTTTGGTTTATATTTTTCGAACCGATCATTAATATGTTCCCTAATCTATGGAATATTCAGCCCATATAATTTAAATTATCAATTTAGCCAACGTATCAAAGAAACTGTAGTAGTTGTATGTGACCATGTTTATGCCTCTATCACAGAATGTTTAAGCTTTATTTGTCGTAAAGATTTTGCGTTTTCGACTTTTAATGTTCCTCAACTTCGTATTCGATTTGGCATTTGAACTGTTTTTATTTGAACTTCACATACGATTCTTATGTTGAACGATGAAACGGGCGTCGACAGTACAACATCATAAGCCTCGTATCATTGAAGGAAAGTCAAATAACCAAATAACTGCAAGATAATCTACCTTAGCTATGATAGCCAGAAACCTTGTAACAACTACTTTTGGTATGTACAAAAAACCATGTTGAATAACAGCAAAGGTGTTTTAAAAATAATACTAAATGAAAAGACCTTGCTGTGTTACATATTTGTTTTTCGTTCATTATTTTGTACATCAATAAGGCCGTTAGTTTTCTCGTTTGAATTGTTTTACATTTGTCATTTCACTCATTTTTTAAGGCCGTATGGTGACCTATAGTTGTTAATTTCAGTGTCATTCGGTCTCTTGTAGAGAGTTGTCTCATTGGCAGTCATACCACATCTTCTTTTTTATATTGCCTTAGTTACCGTTTTATTAGTATGGTTATCTGCCCACATATAATCTATTTTAGTATCATATGTTTGTCAAATATATGTTTATTTTATATGCTACAGGAGAAACATCTGCAGGAAAGAGTGGTTTTATTAACTTATTGATTGGTAGCGATATTTTGCCGGTGTCAACCTTAGCATGTACTTCAACTATCATAAAAATCCATAATACGAAGGACAGAAAAATCATAGTAACTAATGCAAATGGCGGCAAAACGCAAATAGAATTTAAAACAGATGATGATTCCGGTACGATCCAAAAAGAAGTTAAGAAGTATGTTAGCCTCAAAGGAGAAGTTTTGAACTGTAGATGTGTTGATATATATCTTCCATTACCAATGTTGAAGGTGAGATTATTTTATGCAATAAAAAAACCTGCTATAATACTTAATTTATTTTGCTGTTAGTGTGATCAAATTGACTAAGATGCCATTGATATTTATGTCGAAGTTCATTACACTGCTATTTTATGTATTCAAAACCCGACGAGCATGTAAATAAGAATGAAAAATTACAACATAAGTTGAAATGAAGGAATGGGATAATAAATTATTTCCGGCTAAAAAAAACTCCATTAAACAAATAATATACTATAATAATGTAATGTATTACTGTATTGACTTTTTATTCCCTTAATTTTGGCTACAATAGATATGTATATACATTATACATCCATTTGATACTTGCAAACTGCAAAAACCTAAGTCATTTTATCAGTATAATACTGCTGAAAATGTATTATGTTGCTTTGGATACTGTCTTTTAATCATAATAAGCTTCTGTTCAACTGATATAAAATTCGATGCAAGTTTGACAAAGTACATGATGACTGAAAACTTTTACCTTAGATTGTATCCTAATGTTAAATGTAAAAAAAGTTCATTTATCAATAAAAATACTGAAAAATTAAAACAAAGATTTTCTAAATTTTCCATGGGATTCTGTCTTTTTGTTAAAGCTTCTGTCCAAATTTCATAAAATACATGAAGGTTTGAGGTATACTCACGTAAAAAAATTTAATCATCTTAGACTGTATTAATATGTTATCTCTAAAAAAGTAAGAACATTTAACGGAACAATACGGAAAATGAAAATAGATATTTTCAAAATTGTGCTGTGGATACTGGTCATAAGCTTCAATACAAATTTCATAAAGTTCTGTAAAGGTTTGAAAAAGTTATTGATGTTTAAGAATAAATTTAACAACACCGAATGTAAATGCACGACGGAATATAGGATCGCTATGTCTTGGTTTCGCGACATAAATGTCGCATGCTCGTCAAAAAGGAGCAATAGAGAATTATCTTCTTATCGTGCATGAAATCTATCAATAGATATTCTGGATATGATTTATGAATGTTAAATTTTGAATCATTTAATATTTATTAATAACTAATTCGTTTAAATCTAATCAGGGTAATACTGTGATAGTAGACACTCCTGGCATCGGATCATTGGATCATCCTGAACTGACTGCTCGTCTATTTGAGTTCCTACCTCGTGCAGTTGCTTTTATCTACATTATTAATGCAAGTCATGCAGGTGGCTTGGAAAAAGATAGGGTAGGTAAAATATAACTCGAATCATGATCGTCTTTTCTTTGTACTGTACGCTCATAGTTTTGTCAAAACATGAAAACTGTGCTGATGGCTATAACAAGATAGTTTGATGTCCTTTGAAAACGATAAGTTCGTGAACTTTAAAGGTTGTGTCTCAAAAATCTGCATAAACAATCGCATAATGCCTTTTCTGCTGTTATATCAGAAATTTGTCGTATTTGTTTAATCTGGCTTATATGATTCTTGTTAAATACCGATAGTGTAGATTATCGATGGGTTTTTTTTAAACAAAAAGGTCCTTCTCAGCTCTAATCTCATCGAGCCCTGAAATGAGATGTAGCCGAAAAACATCCTCGAGCTTGAAAGACCTTAGATAATCTGTATATCGCATTTTTGCCTATGACATCGTTGATGCTTACATTGACAAATAGCGATAAATGATCTTAGATAACACATATAAAAATAATAAACCCGCTATTTTTTTATTGACATATTTAACAAAAAGCCTCCCCAAAACCCAAACAAAGCATAAAATGTATCTCAGGTGTATTGTTTAACAAATACAATATTTCTGCAACAAAATAGTACAGAAGGAGGAGAATATGAAGGAGGAAATCCAACATTATATGTAAAAAAAAAAAACAACGACAATACTGACCAATCAGAAAACAGAAGTCTACAAATAGTTACACTGAGAACTATATATTGAACAGCACAAACCAACTGACTCACCAAAAAGCCTGTAGTAAACTCAAGTGCTCTGAAAGAATAAGCAGTTTCTGCTCAACTAGTTTCACCAACGTATCGTCGTTGATTATTGAATGAAAAGAGGGTACTTTTTATCAAAATGTAAATGATAAAATTAAAGTACCTGGATTGACGTTTTTTATCTTACATTTTTAAAAATAACAACAATGCATTTTAATAAAATCCTGAGTGTAAGAGAGCATTATTGTACATGTACTATCATACAATAAATTGATTTTAATGTTTTGAAATATCTTCATTGCATTAGCTTTTAGCAATATTTGAGGAACAAAGAAAATGGAAGCAAAGCGGAAAGTTGATAGAATTTGATGCATCAAGAACAATTTTTGTATGCAACAAATGGGATGCGGTTGAAGATGAAGAAGATGATGTCTGGGATTACATTAGAAAAAAACTAAAGGAACATTGGCCTAATTTTCGAGAAACACAACTGTTTAAACTGAGTGTGAAAAAGGTTAGTAAATTTAAGAATTTTGTAACGGAAGTAATAAGACTTAAAATACGAAAAAATTTGACATACCTACACGTTGATACAAGATGCAAGTGACAAGATATATTTTTTGTACCTAAAATTTTAATAATTTCAGGAAAAGAAAATGGCAAAACAAGAGAAAAGTTCTGAAAACTATCGTGAACTACTTTCTGGTATAGAAAAATTGGTTCCGAGCAGCTTAGAGGCTAAAGTTGCCATGAATGCAAGGTATGTGTATGATATTTTACAATACAATACTAAATTCTAACTTTTATTTAACAAATTACACAGAAGGGCCAACAATGAATATTTTCATTCCACTTATGTTTTAAATTTAAAAAAATCATCAAATAACATTTTGGATGCCAGACGAACGTTTCCTCTACATAAGACTAACCAGTAGCACTCGAATTAAACAGCTAGTATGCCAAGTCAAATACAAAGTTGTAGAGCTTTTAGAAAAGTTGTGTCAAATAGGTTCTAGGCAATTCATACCTGGAGGTAGAAAAACCGATGGGGTTTCGAATAACTCAACATTTTTATACAGTAATTGCCAAAAATGAACTTTTAATAATATTTCATGTCATCACAAAAGTGCTGACATTTTGATTGGTGATAGCATCGATGATGAAACACCCACCAGCAGTGGCATCGACATAGCGGTTGTAATCAAAGATTCCAGTCTTATAATTTTGTACACAATACTCACGTTTCGTCTACATCTTCTTATTAGTGCGGCTCGAATTAAAACAGTGAGGGAACCGCATGAGACTAGGAGATTAGACAGGGAAGGCCTCTCCTGCTATGCATGCATCACCCGCCATACAAATCCACAATCAGTCAATCGGAAATTGGACATATTGGTAGAATTACAGATAAGACGAATATTTTGGTATCTCAATTGTGTCGTAGTGAATTGCATTGATACAGAAATGTCGTGTTGGTCAACCAAATCGTGATGTTATCAATATGATAAAAAATAAACCTACTTTTTTGCTTTGTAAAACGTCATTGGTGTCTGAACGTCTGGTCCTTCTTTGTATAAATGTTAATCCATAACTATTTAGTGTCAACTTCATAAGTAATACAGGATTATCTTGAGTTATGAATTGTAAGTACTGATCTTGTGTATCATTTCATTTTCAATCGTTTTCCTTTTATTTATCTTTGAAGGTTGTATAGCCTCATAATTGATCTACATTGAATTGTTACCTTTTTATATTACTGGGAGATTGGGTTTATGTTAAACATTTTTACTATACTTTATTTATTTGACTATCAATTACAAAAAAAAAAAACTGTTGTCGTTTTTGGTAGATGTTGCAGTACTTGACGATGTTTGTAGTGTTTATTATTCAATTTACTTATGTTATGTATCCGTGATGTATTTTTACACAATTGTGGCTGCTGGACCCCAATTATTGTCAAGTTAACGAGTTATGTCAATATTTGCAATTGGTAGCACACTATTTGTTAATATAATGAAACTTCAGGAAATTATTATACAAATAAGAGTTTAATCTAGCTGTAAAACCAGACTTAACCAACTATGTTCTTGAGAAAATGAATGTTCTAAGTCAGAAAATGATTTATGTTTTAATTTTGTTCTGTTGATATATATTGAAGACCGTTTGGCTTTGCCAGTTTTATGGAATTCCCCTTTTAGAATATACCTTCGATTCGATATTTTTGTTATTACATTTTTTCTGCTGACAGAACAAACATTAATAGATATTTATTTTTTTTTCATTAAACTAACCATAATAAAAAAAAAAACTCTTTGTGTATAAATTTCAACTAACATCCACGTATTCTAACATCCATCTAAATCCAAAATGCCTCCAAAAAAACTTATTCGGAAGACTCTATATCTTATCTAGTATTTAATTGTAAATATATTACAATATAACTATTAAAACATGCCAGTATTACTAGGCTTGCAATTTAGATACGATCCTGGTAAACTTATCGATCCATCTAATACACTTATTCTTAAAGGATACCAATTCAACATTGTTATTAGATCGTCGAATATTGTTTTATTGGTATAAATATTGATTTCGTTATCAGTAAATTAGAATCATACTAAATGTTATTGTTGTATACATATGCACATTCATAGCTCTTCTATACCTGTATCTTGGCATTGGTTGTCGTTTGTTGCTGTGTTACATATTTGTTTTCCGTTTATTGCTTTGTACATTAATTAGGCTGTTTGTTTTCTCGTTTGAATTGTTTTACATTTGTGATTTCGGGGCTTTTTATAGCTGACTATGCGGTATGGGCGTTGCTCATTGTTGAAGGCCGCACGGTGACCTATAGCTGTTAATTTCTGTGTGATTTGGTCTCTTGCGAAGAGTTGTCTCATTGGCAATCATACCACATTTTCTTTTTTATATTGCACAAAGTCATTCTTTTCTCAGACTGATAATGACGTTTTTACAATAAGTTCATTGGATGCTGGATGTGTACTGATTGATATTTTAGTCTAAAATGCATGATTTTTTGTTAGTTGTCATTGTATACGGAGTATATATCTCCCAGTTGATACGATATTTCGGGGCTTGTATTTTCTATCATGATTTCCTTGATAGAGGGTTGCTGCTCTCAAGGAATTGATTAAACCTTGAGTTACAAGTGTTAAATTTTATGGACGCCATCACGAGTTGGTTGATCGTTATGGAAAGATGACGACGGATATGTTCCAATTGTCATAACTACAATCCCGTCCCCTTTCCCCGAATTTAACCTACAGAATAAGACTGATAATCGAGTTTGCACTTACATTAGAAACACGAAGGGTGCCACATGTGGAGCAAGATCTCCCTACCTAAGATCACCCTGGTTCATGTCGCTCCGTGTTTAGTTTTCTATGTTGTGTTTTGTTTACTGTTTGTCTGTTGGTCCATTTCTTTTAGCCATGACGTTGTCAGTTTATTTTCGACCTATGAGTTTGAATGTCCCTTTGGTATCTTTCGCCTCTCTTTTATTGGCTTTAAACTAGCTGTCAGTAACTGTGAGTAGTCTCAAGGCTGTACTAAGTGCCTTTTTTGCTGTGGGGATGTATGAATAATCTGTCACGTCCGTTGTGTTTTTTTCTAATTTTTTTTTCTGCTTTGTATCGATCTCATGAGTCCTTTTCAACTGATTTGTATAGGTGTTTTTATGTTGCACTGTTTCACCACTGTCTTAGGTAAGGGGAGGATTTGGCGCCAGCAAACTAGTGTAATCCCGCCAAATTCTGTATGTGCCTATACCAAGCAAGGAGCCTGTAATTCAGTGGTTGTTGTTTGTTACTGTATATCATTTATGCTTTTCGTTCATTTTTTTTTTAAATCAGGCCGTTAATTTTCTCGTTTGAATTGTTTTACATCTGTCATTTCGGGTCTTTTTATAGCTATGGGTTTTTCTCATTGTTGAAGGCAGTATGATGACCTATATTTGTTTACTTTTACGCTATGTGGTTTCTTGTGGAGAGTTGTCTCATTGGGAATTATACAACATCATCTTATTTTTAATATTTAAGCATTGTACGCTCGTCTTCATCAGGGATTCAACTATACTATTATTTTAATTTTGTCGATGTAAATAAATCGGGTATATTTTATGCTTTTTATATGCTATTAATAGTTTGAAGGAAGGTATCTGATGGTTTTGCTCTTTATGAAACCCACAATCACGTGTCTACCGTGACATATTGTGCAATGTAGATAGAAGAACAAGTTCGTTGGTTTAAAATGTGTTTTAAACTTAAGATGTTTTCATTAAAAAACATGGTTCTTTTAAAAATATCAAGAAATAATATGTCTGTAAGTGAAAATTCAAGTTTGAATTTTAGGAACTGGTGATGATTATTTGCTTACTCTAATAATTCCTTAATTTCCTAAATGTCGCTGTGATATATTAACATGATATCATCGCGATGTTTTTTTCTATGTTCAAACTTAGAAAGAATTTCTTTCATAATTATATACATACGAATATCACAGATTTCAGAGTGTGGCCCTGCACCTATGTTTTGCTTATGAAGCTTTCCATTTTAAATAAACAAATATTGTTTACTAAAATTAATCTGAGGAGATAAATCAGATCATTCATAGGTAGGCATTTGATTTTGTAATCAACTGATCATACGAAATTCTAACTGCCGATAGTAATTCAATTAAGTGTGCATAGAGACTACATCAAAACTACATAGCCAGCAATCTACATTAGGGTTAATGTTTCCAACTTGTATATTAAAGCAAACATATCTTTTATGTCAGCGTATTGTTTTTGTACTATATGAACAAGAAAATAATCAATATATCGTTCAAATTCCATAACAATGCCAAGCTGAGAAATGATCGGTCGACAAGGTGGCATTGTGTGTTCAATTGTAAATCCATAGTTATTTATTTTTACTAATTCCGATTCATTTAGTCGGTTTGTTTTACGCAAGATATAATTACATCCATGCCCTTACTTAATGTGCTTACCATTATTAAGGTAGTTAAATGGGAAATAATCTATAACACCTTTTGGTGTGCATGCCATGTAATTATTGATATTAAATCCAAGTGCTTTTGGGTCAAAATTATCCAATTTGGTGTAATGTGGTGTATTTAACTGGCGACCGCCTTCAGAACGGCAACTGACTGTATCTAGATTAACAACAATATTATCTTAATAATTTCTTTATTAATAATTAAAGTTTCAATATTAACAAGAGCAGAAATGCCGGACTTCTCTGAAACACCAAGATTGTTTCTAAATTTTCGAATTTGTTGAAGCCAATTGATACTTTGTTTTAAACAAGTAATTTTCAAGGGTCTTGCAGGTAAATAGTGGTATTTGTCCAGTTTTAACTCTGAAAGGATGCATTTCAGCCAAGCTACAGTGATGACATCTCATTTTCCTGGCTAATTCATCAGAATGATGTAAAAATCGGGCTTTGCCCTTATGACTGGCAGTGAAGGAATGAATTCTAACCTTTGGATAATACCAAATACTTGTCATTAGTTAATTTTCAAAGCGAAAGATTAATAATCTGTTCTTTAGCGTTTAAAGCATGAATTTTCGCTTACTTCGCTGCATTGCAGCTTTCTTTTTCAGCTTCCGTTTATATTTATTTCTTTTGTGTATGTTTCCAATAATGTCTAGCGATTTCTGTGATTACTGACACTAGTATTTGAATGACTATAATCAATTCAAAATTGACATCATAGAATGGTAAAATGCGTGGTTTATTGCTTAAACTGATTATCATTGGCGCAGTTACCTCTCCAATTATATTAAATATGAATTCCAAATTACACAATAAACAA